CGGCACCGTGTTGTTGAGGATGTTGTGGTCGCACTTCGCCTCGGGATGGGGTGGCCGTGGGGCGCCCGGGGCCAGTGCTCTCATTTCCAAAGCCACGGGGGCGGGCAGGCGGGCAGGCAGGCAGGCTGGCAGACTGCTGCGCTCCGCACCCTGAGGGCCGGGCGGGCCTGGCGCTTCTTGGCACTCAGGCGGCTGCCAGGCATTATTGGCACACGTCCGCACTACACTGCCGTGGCGGGGCCGCGGCCCTGGCCGCCTCTGGCCCTCCTTCCGTCAGGCCTGCTCCCATTCCCTCTGATTTCCTTGTCCTCGCCTTCCTCCCCTCTTTTTCCATTATTGCGACATTTGCGTGCACCTCATATTTTGCTTGTCAGGACGCAACTCGGAAGCCGTTTCCGCTGCTTTATCGTTCGCCGACTTGTTCATTAGCCGTGCATTGCTGCATCGTCGGGTCAACAGCCTCACTTCCCGACGGAGAGAGAGAGAGAGAGAGAGAGAGAGAGAGAGAGAGAGAGAGAGAGAGAGAGAGAGAGAGAGAGAGAGAAGCACCCCGCAGGCTGATGCGGCGAAAGTCGCTTTCCTCGCTCTGTCTCCCTCGCACCAATGGCGCGTTCCGTGCGTGCGAGAGAGACAGCGTTCGAAGGCAGCCCGCTGCGCGGCGTGATGGCTCCGATGACGCGGCCCTGCTCCTCCGCCGGCCACTGCAAACTAATCCCTCGGCAAGCGTGACTGCGTGAAAATTTCAATGAGGCTTTCGAGACAATAATGATAATTCGGTTGCGCTGCGCCGCGCCGCCCTTGCCGGCCTTATGCTGCTCCATTATTCATCCCAAACACCCATTATTAGTTTGCAAACTTTGCCCGGCGCGTGTGGAAGGCCGGAGCCTGGATGGCCCGGAAGGCCCTGGAAGGCCCTGGCAGGGGTGCACCTGGACGGGAGGCCGCACCTGGCTGCCAGCCCCGGCGGGGCGGCGAGGCGCAGCAGCCGGCTGCCAGCACTGACTGACCGGCCGCCTGATGCATCGGACTCCGTTGTCGCGGAGGAAGCCGAGACGAACGATTAGACGGCGGCGATGCACGCGGCAGTGCCCCTGCAGACTGATTCCGACAGTCCTTTTCGTCGCTCTGCCTCCCTCGCACTCATGGGGCGTTCCGTATCGGCGCGAGAGAGACGAGGAATTCTTTCTTCGCGGAATCAGACGCCAGAAACGAAACGAACGGAGAGAAAATAGCGCGTCGCTCACTCACTCAAAGAGCGCCTGCGAGATGCGGGGTAGGCACGCCCGCCGAACGGCCAAGCGCGCGGACTGCAGCCTCGCCAGGCGCTCCCACGCAACACTCTCCTTTTTATGCGCGCGCTTCCTTGTGGGAGAGAGAGAGAGAGAGAGAGAGAGAGAGAGAGAGAGAGAGAGCGCTCCAATGTGTAGGTGTGGGTGAGTGTGCGTGCGTGTATTTGTCTTTTCCCTGTTTTTAATTCAAACTGCCCCGTGCGTGCTGCATGAACGCCGCCGTGGCGGGGGGCGGCGGGGCCTTGCACGCCACGTCCTCGTCGGCGTCGGCCTCGTCCGGGGGATGTTTCAGGTGGAATCACAGATAACACGGCTCAGCCGGTGTTCGTCCGCACGCACGCGCAGCGACACGCGGCTGCACACACACACACACACACACACACGCACACACACACACACTCACGCGCACACACACACACACACACGCACACAAGCACGCGGCGGCGACCGAGCGAAATGGAGCGCGGATTGAGTTACTTTGAGCCCCTTTTGTTGCGTGCCTGCGTGTGCGTGCATGCGTTGACCCACATAATAGTCAATGCGCGCCATACATCATGGCGAGGGCAAGCCAGGCACTCTGGCGTGCCAGCGCCGCCCCGCCCCGCCCCGCCTCGTCTTGTTCACACGCCGCGTTTCGCGCTGGAGCGAAGCAGCTCCTCCCATTCTGCTTTGCATTCCCCGCCGAGCCCTTCGCAGATTTTTTTTCTGCATGTCGTTTTTTTTCTTCTTCTCTCGGCAGCCCTCTCTTTCGCCTAGCCGCGCTGTCATCTGAATATTTTTTTTTTACTTGTTCTCCCCATGCGTGCGCCGCGCCTTCCCCCTCCCCGTCTTCTCATTTTCTTGGATCGCCGTGATCGTCGAGTTAGAGAGTCCTCTGCACAGGATTGCAGGGTGGACAGTTTGGGGATGGCAGCCCAAGTGCATTCGGAACGACTGGGATTTGTTGAAGTCGCGTCGCGCTGCAGACTGATTCCCAGAGTCGCTTTCGTCGCCCTGTCTCTCTCGCAGCCATACAGTGGATGGCATTTTCATGAAAGGTCAAGGGCGACAGCAATGTCATCAACTGATTTGGTGGAAACTTGGCCTTCAAATTGTCATCAAAAGTGTCAATCAAAATTTCTACTTTCCGCCAAGATGTGGACTTTCTGCCCTTGCCACCAACCGCGCTGTGTCGCAGAGATTTTCTGCCCTCGGCTCGCCTTGGCCCAATTTCTTTATGCTCCTTGACGCCGAGCTGTGCGTCCCATAGGTATGCGCATTTTGGATGGCGGGGCGGGGCGGCTGAGGGGAAAAGCAGAAGGGGAGAGGGTGGGGGGGAGGGAGGGAGGGAGGGAGGGAGGGAGGGAGGGAGGGAGGGGGGGGGAGGAGGACGGCGTCGACGAGGCCCGCCATGCATACTGTTGATTTCCATTCCGAGTCTTGAGCAAGAATTGAATGTCGTACGTCGTACACTCGTGCAGCGAGGGACGGCGCGATTTAACAAGGTCGGCGGGCGGGAGGACGCGGGCGGCCGACGGCGGAGGGAGAGGAGAGCCCGGGTCTCAGATCCAAGCAAGACGACGCACTGTAACACCTTGAGCGGCACCGCGCCGCCGCCGCCTCCGCCGCGCCGCCCCGCAGATCATTGTAGTCGGATTAATTAATTCAGTAATTAATTCAGCAAAGTGAAGTTAGCGGGGGCCTGATAGTGTCGGGACGACTTTTCATTCAATGTTGGGCCCCGCGCCGGCGCACTCGGCTTCCCGGAACAGCCATTAGTGGCAGCACTGGAAGGGGGAGGGGGAGGGGGATGGAAAACCCATCGCAGGGCGCGCTACGTCATGTGAACATTCCCACTCCCTACCCCCCCCCCCCCCCCCCCCGGTGGATCTCATTGTGAGTGTCCCCTCGAAGGGAACACTGAAGCGAGGCAGCGGCGCGACACACCTCCACCTGGCGCCTCCCCTCCTTCCTTCCCCCTCCTCCTCCCCCATTCGCTTGCGTTATTGAAATCCAAGTTTTGATGAGAAAGTTGCTTTCGACAGTGGCGTGGTGGCCGTGCGCCACAGTGCGGTGGCGTCTGTGCAACACTCCGCGCTTCGACTGCATCAAAGCGGAAGCGGCGACGGTGTGGTTCCCGTCACGACTCATCCGCTCATTATTTTACAGTATTTTATTTTTCATGCCCGAATAACGGGTATCAGATACGTATTTATTATAAGTATTTTGTTTGGGTCCGCGGATTTCTCGCCTCCCGTTGGAATGTGTTATTGCCACCCGTGTCACATGCACACGCAGACACGCGTATTTGTGACCACGCGCGCGCTTACGTGGGTACACGTTTGTGTGTATAGGTGTGATTGTGTGAGTATGTGTGAGTGAGTAAGCGTGTGCGTGTGTGTGTGTGCGTGTGTCTGTGTGTGGGGGAAGGGGTTAGGGGAGAGCTGAGCCAAGCGTGGCGCTCTTTTCTATCGCTCGTGAAAAAATGTAGACAGAGAAATATTACTCTGGGCGTGTATGTGTGTTCGCACGCTTGCCACGTGTGCACGTGTGTGAGTGCGGAGCGATATCGTGCGTGACTCCGTATGCCGGCTGCTGAGCGCGCCGAGGCGGTGCACGAGGTGAGGTCTTGATGTAAAAAGAGAGAAAAAAATAATGAAAAAACTGGGGTAAAAGCAGGAAAAGAAAAAATTTAAAAATGCAAAAAGAGTTGGTGGGGGGGAGAAGAAGATGGGGGTTAGCAGCGTGAACATATGTGTGTGAATTTGAGGTGGCTGTGTTTCACGCCATGGACGGCGCTGCTCGCCATTTGCTGGGCGATGCAAAGCAGTAGCCCCCTAACCACCACCACCACCGAGCCGCTGCCCCTCATATCATTTGAATCGTTGTAAAGTTGCCACGCATAATTCGTAACCCGCTTCCTGTTAAATTTAGTTGAGGTGTTTTGTTTTTTTGCGTGTTTTTAAATATATCTTTGACCAAAACCACAGCTTTTTTCCCCCAACTCGTCCCTTCCGACGCAAATAGTGGTGCGGTCTCTGTTAGGTAGACCGAGCTTTTCGCTGCGAAAAAAAAATCCCCTTGGGTTCTTGCAAGTCTAAACAAAATGGCCGGCGGAGAGGGGAGCGCGGATAATGCTGCTGTTCTTTCTATTATCCACGGAAGTGACCCTCGCGCCACGCCAAGGTCCACCCCGCCCCGCCCCGCCCCGCCCCGCCTCACCCCGGAGCGCGCCATTTAAATTGCAGAGCCACCTTGTCCTCTTTCGTCTTAAAGGAATCATCGAACCACCAGGCAGGCAGCCCGTCCGCGCATTTGCATACCTCAGGCGTTTACGAATCAGCGGGCCATTGTTCCAGTTCCTCCTCGTAATGCAAAGCGCTCTCGTAAATTAGCGGACGGCCGTCCGACTGCCCCAGAGGCTGCCCCAGAGGCTGCCCCCAGCCCGTCAAACGAGCGACGATTCGCGAAGGGGAAAAAAAATGGAGGTCCGGACGCGTTTTGAGCTCTGCGGTCCTTAGAACGGGCCCGAATTGAACGCATGATGGTTCTACTGGATTGCATTTCACTGTGGCAAAAAGCCACGGAAAATTCTGAAAGCAGCTTGTGGTTATTCTCCGTAGCCCCCTTGTCAATATTCTCCGTCGGACCGCCTCCACCGGTCTGCTGGCCCACTGTGTGGCGTTTGTGTCGCCGAGTTGCTAACGTCGTCGCTCTCTCTCCCTGTTGCAGTGCGACCGCTGTCCGTCCGGCTGCTCGGGGAAAACAGGCCGTTTAGCGCCGAGAAGAGCTACGAGGTGTCCTGTGAGGTGGTGGGGGCGCGGCCCTCGCCGCAGATCTCCTGGTGGAAGGGCAACACGCAGCTCAAGAACAACAAGGAAGTGGTGAGTACACTGCGAAGAAGGATCAGTACGGGCAATGCACAAAACGTGGGGTACGAAAAAAGTACGTACCTCCCCTGGTTGTAAACTGAAATACATATCCAGGTGAAAAGTTGACCTGCATGTTCCGTACTTTTTCTGCACTTTTTTTCTCTATCTCTAAACGTTTTACGCGTACGTCGAGTTTTACTTCGAATCACGGTCTGCCTGGTGAAGTCTTTTAGACGCGTCTCCATCCTACTTCGTTACTCGCCAAGAGTGCTTTCCGTGCGTGTGACCTTCTCCCGACTGCCCGTCCAGTCAGAGCGAGGAGTGGAGCCTCTTTTCCAGCACTCCAGCCGAAACGGCGTGGCCACTGTCAGGCGAAGAGTCGCTCTGTCTCTCTCGCGCCCCGGCGAGACGCTCCACGCGCGCGACAGAGACAGCGACGAGTCTTCGGAAGCGGCCGCTGCTAAATTACTCGAGGTGCGCGAGCGCTTAGATAGAACAGGCTGATTCTGCGCGCAGAGCGCTTTGTCTCTCTCGCACCCATGGGACGTGCCGGAGGGGTGCGAGAGAGACGGGGACACACGACAGGCAAACGGCATGCGAAACGATGATGGCACCTGAACGGCCCGGCCGAATCGGGGCGCCCCCCCCCCCTCCCCGGGACGGCACTAGTCGTAAGCACCTTAAGCCGGCCGTTAAGCGCGTTTAAGTCGGACTTAAACAAAGTAAGCCAATGCGGGTGTGGAAGGTAATTTGAAGCGGCCCGCCCGGCGATGGTGTGCCTCGCTGCCCTTGAAGTCGCCCAGCGCGCGCGCTCCAGAGTGTATTACATCGGGGTGGTTGAGAAACATGACATTCAAATCGTATTTCCCGACCAATTCTTATTTGCGCGGCCACGGCTTGCCCCCAGTGTTGTCTCGTTCTTTGAGAGAACGGCGGAATATTTTCCCCCGCCGTTCCGTTACCGAAAAACTACCTGACGGCATCGGATATTGCGAATGAGCGCAGCGTTCCCCCCTCCCACTCAAACAAAAAGGGCGCGTTTTTTTTTTCGCGTGGAGCTGATTGAACTTTTAAATACAGAAATGTTTGCCGGTGCCCCGAGGGGGCTCCTCGTATACAATGAGACTTCAGTGCGCCTATAGACGGTCAGGAGCAACTAGCTAAAGAGCCCAGCTGTCCACCCCTTCTAAATGGAATAAGGAAAGTGTGCTGGGAAGAAAGGCACTGGAAACACACACAAGCACCCACACAGCCACACACAGACAGACAGACACAGACACACACACACACACCTACACACACACACACACACACAACACACACACACACACACACACACGGCCGCGCACGGTGGGGTGTGACAGCAGTGAGAGTGTTGGCAGGGCCTGGCAGGGCCTGGCAGGGCCTCGGGGGCACTTTGCCGCCCTCTTGAACGGGACCCATTCCCGGTCGCCGCGGCCCTCGCTCCCCTCGCCGTCCTCAAGGAAAAGACTGTTCAAATATTTATCTGCGCCGCAGAATGAGCTCCGCCCCGCCCCGCCCCGCCCCGCCCAGCCGGCGCTGCTGCCGGCCACTTTCATGTACTTCATGCCGCCTTGAAACCGAAGCTGCTGCAGCTCCGCCTGCAGTCACCAAGAAGGGCGGGGCGGGGCGGGGCGGGGGGGGGGGGGGCGGGGCGGGGCGGGGCGGGGCGGGGCGGGGCGCGCAGGTATACCACACCGTCGGATTCACGCTCCGGGTGGCGCGCCGGTTGTCTCGTCAGTCAACACTCCGGCGTGGTGTTGCTGGTTTCCTGAGCAGCGCGTAGGCCACGCTTGCTTGGTCGCGAGGCGCACTGTTCAATCCACAACAACGTCGTGACCTCGTCGACGGCCAAACTTGCGTCCTCCAGGTGGGTTTCAAACTGAGCGAAAAGAAGTACCTTTTGGGCTCTGCAGCTCTGAGAAAGGAGGGCCTCGATCGAACGCGTGATGGTTCCAACGGGTTGCTCTTGGTACAGTACGAGGAATCTATTAGTACCATCCTTTGCGCTCTGTTTGGGACCGTGGGGCGTCCATGGGCATGTGTCCGCCAGAAAAGTGGTCCTGGCTCGCTCTCTGCGCTGCGGTCGCAGACTGATTCCTCTGAGTGTCGGTCCGTCTCTGTCGCACTCATGGGGCGTTCGAGTGCGAGAGAGACAGAGCGTCGGGGCCGGTGCCAGCTGGCGCTGCGTGGCGCGACCTGCGGCCTGGCCGGGCCTGGCCGACGCAAACGCCAACGCGGCTCGGTCATCTTCCCCGGTCAACGCGCGGCGCGGTGCGGCGCAGCGGGGTTCACTCATTAGAGTCCCTTTGGCCCCGCGTTGAAACCAGTGGCGCCCCGCCCCGCCCCGCCCCGCCCAACCTCGAGCAGCTAAATATTGACGAACCGCGCTGATTGGCCACCCCGCCCTGCCCTGGTTTGCAGTGCTGCTGCTGCGCTTTCCTAGTCCTGCAGACTGATTCCGAGAGTCGTTTTCGTCGCTCTGTCTCTCTCGCACTCGTGAGGCGTCCCGTGTCGGTGCGGGAGAGACGGAGCGACGAAAACGACTCTCGGATTCAGTCTGCAGTGGATCTGCCGGTCTGGTCCCCGCCACCGCAAGCCACGGCCGCTGACCACGGCGCCACGCCGGAGTCATGGCGCCGCCACGAAAAAGGACTACATTGCCACCGCCCAGCCGCGCCGGCCCCATGCCGACATCATTTTCCGACGCGGTCGCGCCGCGCCTGATCAAAGCGAAGTGTCCGCGGGGGTAGCGACTTGGGTAATCCAGTTGCCCGCAAATTGGTGCACTCGCGTCGCGGTCGGGTCGCTCCATACACAACAGTACGCGTGCCGGTGGACGAATTCTATCTAATTTTGGGTTTCCTTAGCCAAATCCCGATATTTTCGGGGCGAGATATAGCGTAGGTGCATGCCTGGTCAGTGCTTTTCCACCTCGAGTTGTCCACGATCCGGATTACCAGAAATTTTGAGGTAATCCGTTGGTAATCTGGGGTAATCCGGTGGTCATCCAGCGAAATAAGGATCATACTGGAAAATAAAGGCTATTTAACCCGGAGGTAATCGGCGGGCACTTCGGCGGTATAATCCGGAATCCAGCCGACATGAAATTTACTATTCGTTTCCCCCTCGAAAGAGCCGCAACCGCGTCGGCCGCGTCCCTTTCATTTTGTCCTAAATTGGCTCGTGTGTGTGTGTGTGTGTGTGTGTGTGTGTGTGTGTGTGTGTGTGTGTGTGTGTGTGTGTGGCGAGGTGCGGCGCATCACCGCGGTCGCAGGGGAGAGAGTTTGCCAGCGGTCCTCGCCATCGAGGGGTGCTTCAAAAGCTCTCCCCGACGCGGGCTTTTGACTTTTCAGCACGCTGCCGCTCTGCCGCTCCGCGTCGAGAGGCCGCCGAGGCCGCCGAGGCCGGGAAGATGGCTGCTTGGCGGCCGAGCACGAGGGGAGGGGTGGGTGGAGGACGGGAAGCGCGTCCTTTTCACCTTCACTGTTAATTTCATGCCCGGTGATTAAAGCGGGAACGAGTCCTCTCGGATCGCTCCGAAGGACCGCTCCGAAGGACCGCTCCGAAGGACCGCCCCGCCGGGGATCCCCCGGGATTACTCGCCGGATGTGGCGTGCTGAGGGGAACGGGAAGCAGGCGAGGAGTCGCCATGATTAGTTGACGAGTCCTAAGCAGCGGACGACACCGCCGCCGTCCTATCGGCTTCGTCGCCCCCGTTCACCTTCCACTCCACCGGAAAAACAAAATGCGCCACGCTGCGGTTGTTTCTCGTAGTGGACTGCGACTGCCCTGTGTTCCACGAACCGCGCCGTTTGAACGTCTTTGCACGGGAGCGCCGAGGGGACATAAAGGCACAATGTGCCCGCCCCGCCTCGCCCCGCTCCGCCCCGCCTCGCCCCGCCTCGCCCCGCCTCGCCCCGCCTCGCCTCGCCCCGCCCCACGCCCCCACGCCTTGCCGCTTGCTGCTGTATTTTTCATGTCCTCATTGTAAGGCATTGTGACGCGGCGCCGCCCCGCCGACACGTCGCAAACAAGCAGCCAGCCAGAAAAAGACAAGTCGAAGACAAGGTGTTGAACGGGAATGCCATCAGCGGAATGGGCCAAGGCCGTGGAGCAGGCCGCGGGGTGGAACGCGCGCTTTCCTTGACGTCGAAGAGGTGAGCAGGCTTCCGGGGACGACGGCGGCGGCGTCCTTGAAGGCGTCCTCGTCGGCGTCTTCGTCGGCTTCCTCGGCGGCGTCCTCGACGGCGTCCTCGGTGGCGTCCTCCTGGTCGGCGTAGTCCTCGACGGCGTCCTCGCTGTATTGGCGTAGTCCTCATCGGCGTCCTCGGTGCCCCGCGGCGCCCTCCACGTCCTCGGCGCCCCGCAGCCGCGCCGTTAATTAATCTCCTGAGCTATCGAGTTCGGTTCCCCGAAAGGTACCGACCTCCTCGTGACGTAGCGGTGCGCGGCGGTGTTGGAGGAGCTCAGCGCAGTCAAGCACACCGCCGGGTGGTCCCGCGGGACGGCGGGGTGGGGCGGCGCGGGGATATTGGTCGGGGGTAGTTCTGCCTGGCGGAAAAGGGCAAAAGGGGAGGGGGAAGGGGGAAAGGGGGGGGAGTCGTAAGAAATAACGGCCTCGTGATTCCGCTATTATTCCTCACAAGGATTTGCAGTAATTGCTGCACTGATGGACGCGAGTGTGGTCGCCGTTGTTATGTTTCGCCACTCGAAAAGAGGTTCTGGCGGCGGCGATTCGTCGAGACGATCGAACGCGAGCCTAAGAAAATTAATGGCAGCACACGAAACAGAGGCATCTTAGCTATTTTTCAGCAAGCCGGACTTTCTTAGTTGAAATCTCCTCAGGCTTGCAGAAATTTGTTGAAAACAAAAACCATAGCATTTTGCTGCCAAGTGCCTCGGTACTTTTCTTTTCCTTTTCTTATAAGCAACGTACTAGTGTGGTTCGTTGTCAAAGACTTTCCCGCTACAGGAGGGAGGAAAATGACGACGCACTTTGACCATTAATAAGCCGATTCTCGTCAGGGAGAGGCAGTAGTGGAAAAAGGTACGAGAAAAGTAAAAAAGTGCACAACAAATTTAACTTTCATTCTGCCCCCGCCCCCTTCCTCTTCTTTCGCGAGCCACTGCACCGCCGGCAAGATCCACTCATTGAATTACTCGGCGCTAATAAGGTAAGCGCTCCACGGTGATTCTTTCGCTTGCCCCCGTTTTCCCGTTTTTGTTGCAATTTCGCCGGATCGCTGATTTCTGCTTTCTGCCGCTCGTATTCTCGGGATGCTCTTGTTTTTCCGCGTCTCGGGACGGCACTGGGCGGCATGGCTGTCCGCCGCGCCTGTCACCCCCCCCCCCCCCGGCCCGGCAACAGACGGAAACAGACGAAAGAGCAATATGCGAGTGCATTGGTTGAGCAGCCACTGCCGGGATGGAATTAGACAGTTGCGTTTCAATCTGGAAGAAGGAGCGAGGGACTTTGCCTCACAAGGTTCCCGCGATGACGCCAGGGGGCGCGTGTGCTAATGGAAGCGAGGGAGGGGGTGGACTCCCCGCAGCGTCTTCTCTCTCTCTCTCTCTCTCTCTCTCTCTCTCTCTCTCTCTCTCTCTCTCTCTCTCTCTCTCTCTCCCCTTGCGGCCCTAACGGCACGCCACTGGAGAGACAAGCGACGAGACCGCTGTTCGCCATCAGCCCGCTGAGAGCGGTGCGCTGCCAAACTCGCGCGCTTGCCTGTCGCTGGGAGATCCGCCGATACGCCGCCAGTGCGCGGCGCCTCTGCACGTCACCCCACAGGGCCGCCACCCTCAACACTTCGGCACCCGTCGCAGCCGAGCTGGCCGAGCGGCGGACGCGAAAGGGCGCAAGCCGCAGTCGTTGTTGGTTTCGACGGGGGTTCGCGTCGTTGACGTGTCGACCCTTTCTCGACACGTGAAATTAGTTGGACTCGATTGTGGCAGCCGCGGTGTGTGGCCGCCGTCCCTTGCGGCGACCCTTGTCGTCGACCCTTGCCGTCGACCCTTGTCGTCGACCCTTGCCGTCGACCCTTGCCGTCGACTTGCCGTCGACCCTTGCTTTCGAATCTTGCCGTCGACCCTTGCCGTCGACCCTTGCCGTCGACCCTTGCCGCGACCCTTGCCGTCGACCCTTGCCGTCGACCCTTGCCGTCGACCCTTGCCGCCGACTTGGCGGCCGACCCTGGGCGGTGGGCGTCTGCACCTCCGCGGCTCCTCCCCGCGCCTGGCTTGGCGTGGCCTCTGGGCCTGGCAGAGCTTGCAGGCCTTGCAGGTCGCCCGGGGCGTTGACCCCTGAATAAGTCAACAATCAATCAATGCGGCGGGAAAGCGACCCCGGGGACGGCGGCGAAGACCGTGGCGAAGGCGACACCGAAGGCTGGCACGGCAGGGCGTTATTGAATATCTGACAAAAACAATCCAGCGGCAGGCAGGGGGATGGGGAGGCGGGGGAAGGGGCATTTTAAATATTCGAACCGATCGGCTGTGTAAAGCAACAGGCCAGGGTGTGATTGGCTCGCCGCGTCTAACCCGTCCAACCCCAAACCGGAAGCGCGCCGTCGTTTCCATAATGGCGGGCTAATTATGGTTTAATATCCCGAGATGACTTTCACTGAAAAACGATTAGACGTTCTGTTTTCCTGTTTGTTTATGTTTTCGGCGGGTTATTCAGCGCGTCGCCTCGACGCGGGCTGCGCGCCAGTGACTTGCTCTTTCGCTTCTCTCTCTCCCTCCGCCACACGCGGCGTAGAGGCCCGGGCCCTCGAACAACACAAAACTTGCGAGATTGCCTTCTATGCAAAGTTTCCAACAAGGCTCCCATCACGGAAGCCTCTCGATCTGTCCACAGAAGTGCCGCGTGCACTCGTCCGCGCGCGCTCCGTTTGCAATATCCATGCAGTACGGTTCGGCACAGTCGCTCTGTCTCTCTCGCACCCTACGATGCGACTTTTTGAGACGGTCGGCCAGGTCAGCTCGAGCGACCCGCACGCTTCGGTTAGGGTGCGAGAGAGACAGAGCGACGAAAGCACTGCTCGGAATCACTGCTGGTCCCCGTTGGGGCGCGGCTCGGGCGCGGCGGCGCGGCCTGAGGCGAGGAGGCTCGGGACGGTTCAATAAACCGTGTCTCGTCGTGAGCACCTCGCCTTTGCAAAGCCCCCAAATCCTCATTGAGAAGTAAGTGTCAAAGTCTGAAACCTCGACCCCTCTCGTCCCTCTCGTCTCTCGTGCCGGCCCGAGCCACACGCGGGCGTCACTCATTGCCCCCAATTATGCTAAGGCATGCCCTGTGAGGCCGTGCCACGCCCTGCCACGCCCTGCCACGCCCTGCCACGCCCTGCCACGCCCTGCCACGCCCTGCCACGCCCTGCCACGCCCTGCCACGCCCTGCCACGCCCTTCACCCTCTCTGCTCTTCCGTCCGCCTGCCCGGAGCCCTTCCCTCCGGCCCTGAATCTGTCCCTGCAGTTCCGCAACAAAACTCCATTCAGGCTGCGCCTCGCTCGGCCTCGCCTTCTCGGGCCTGCAGGGCGCCGACCCGACAGTGGACTCTCTTTATTTTTATTCACACTTTGCGTTCGAAATCCCCTCAACTTGTTCTTTTATCTCCCGTTGCTCCGGCCGGCCGAACGCGACAAAACAATCTACTCAAGGAGAATTATTATTTGTCAAGCCCTTGCTCACCCCGCCAGGCCAGGCCTTCGTCGGCCAAAGGGGCCGGCCGGAGTGGCCCTGGTGGCCCTGGTGGCCCTGAGGGGACTCATTCTCCGAATCCAATCTTCGCCTTCTGTTTGAAGTAATGCATTTATGGCCATCAGGGCTGCTCAAAGCCCCGGCTTTGTCCGTCGTGTCAAGAAATTTCCATTTCCGGACTGGCCCCTGCGGGCGGGCGGCGGGCCTCTGCCCGGGCCTCGTCCCTGGCCGCTGCAGCCGAGGCAAGGCAAGGCAAGGCCGAGACGGAGGTAAAAGCAGCACGCTGCACAGTGGGCCAGAAGACCGGCGGAGGCGGCCAAAACTCCAGACGCGTTTTGAGCTGCAGATTCGTTAAATGGGACTCGAACCGAACGTGTGACCCCACCAATGGTTTGCTCTCCGAACGAGGAATCCATTGGTGGTGTCACAGTCCGGTTCGAGTCTCATTTAGTGACTCTGGAGCTCGAAACGCGTCGAGAATTTTGGCCGCCTCCACCGGTCTTCTGGCCCACTGTGCGCTGCCAGAGAAACGGTTTTCATAAGGCGCCGTACTCCTTTCGTCGTTTCCGGGAATATGGGTCCGTAATTGTCGGCTCGTGGATTGGCCACTCCGTGTACTCCGTGAAACGCAGCGCTAACAAGTTTGGAGTGTTGCTGCCGGTGTCCTTGCGTGTCCTTGGGGCAGCGCTAGTGGGTCTCGCCGAGGCGGCGCCAAGGGACCCGCACTGGGCACGTTTCGAGGCCCGACCCGACGCCGAGGCGGCCGTGTGGTAATGGGGACAGGCCGCCCTTTGAGGAAAAATCTACATCGATCTACATCACATGTGTTTGATTCGTGACCTATTCAAGGACTCGCGATCCGTCCCCCAGGCCGATCCCGAACAGTGCTGTGGTCGCTCTGTCTTTCTCGCGCCCCTAGGGACCGCGCCGTGAGTGCGAGAGAGGCGGGGCATTGTTTGGAATCGGCCTGTGTGGCCCACTGTAAGGCCGCCTCGCGGCGTCTGTGGAAAACGCTCCATCTACCCGCCAGCCCCGCCAGCAGACTGATTCCGAGAGCCGTTTTCGTCGCTCCGTCTCTCTCGCCCCTATACGGGACACCCCGTGAGTACGAGAGAGACAGAGCGACGAATCAGTCTGCAGCAGGCCGGGCCAGGCCCAGCAGGCAGCCCTGGCGCTCCGAATAGCGCCGCCGGAGATAAGCCTGTCGATACACACGTCGTGTTAAGGCGCCACTGTGGCTCTGTTGCAGACGTCGCAGGACCAGAACTCCACCATCAGCACGCTTCTGTACTCGCCCAAGGTCGACGACTCCGGCATGGTGCTGAGCTGCCGCGCCGAGAACCCCCGGCTGCCCAACTCGGCCCTCGTGGACAGCTGGACGCTCGACATCTACCGTGAGTACTACCTGCTGTATCTGAGCAAGCCGGTTCCGTCGCTCTGTCTCTCTCGCACGGCCAGGGGACGCCCCGTGAGTGCGAGAGAGACAAGCGACGTAAGCACCGCACAGTGTGCCAGAGACCGGTGCAGGCGGTGAAAGTCCCGGACGGCTTTCGAGCTCTGGAGTCGCTAAATGTGACTCGAACCGAACGTGTGACCCCACCAATGGATAGCTCTCCGACTGAGAAATCCATTGGTGGGGTCACACGTTCGGTTCGAGGCCTGTTTAGCGACTCTGGCGCTCAAAACGCGTCTAGAGTTTTGGCCGCCTGCGCCGATCTGGCCCACTGTGAGGGAGGCATCCCGCAGAAGGACAACGACGGTAACGGCGTCCATTGCCTGCCCCAGACGTGCCAGTGGTGACGCTGCAGCTCGGCCGGCCGCTCAACGCCAGCGCCATGACGGAGGGCGTGGACGTGTTCTTCGAGTGCCACATCAAGGCCAACCCCAGGATCTTCCGCGTCGGCTGGCGGCACGAGGTAAGTCACCGGCGTGCGGTCACCTTTCCCAAAAGTTCCGGTTCCCGATTCCGCGCTCGGCGTTCCGCCGCGCGCCGACTCCATATTCTCCGGGTGAAGACGTCCGCGATCATCTTCCAGGTCGCCGCGTCGCGGGCCAAGGCGCGGCGGGGCGGGGGGGGCGGGGCGGGGCGGGGCGGGGCGCAGAGCTGCAGCTGCTGCACCGCCTTGCCTTTACCGTCTCCGCTCCAGTTGTTTTACAGCTCTTTTTATAACAGCGGCCACATCAGCGCGACTGGGGCAGCGGGGCGCTGGCTTGGCCCTGGCTCGGTGCTGCTCGAGGTCGCCGGGGGTGGCGGCCCGGCGGCCCGGCACCCTGCAGCGACTCGCGACTTCGGAGCTCAAAACGCGTCTAGAGTTTTGGCCGCCTGCGCCGGTCTTCTGGCCCACTGTGCAGGCGGCTGGTTCCATCAGGCGCACTTTGCATGCGGCCGATAGGCTCAGTGCTCTCGTCCGCGCCGCGCTCAAGTTGTTATCGAGGTCCTTAGGGGCCCGCGTCCTGTCCCCGGCCGCCACCACCGCGACCACTTCGGCGGCCACCCGAGATTACGCCGAGGACGGCGTCGAGGAGGGTGGCGCCGTCGCCACACCTCCCTCTGTCTGCCGCGGCGCTGGCAGTGCTCGCCGTGCCGCCCTCGGCCGCCCCCTCCCCGCGCAGTATCGGGATTGCAAGCATTGGCCCCTGGGTGGCCGTTCCCAAGCAAAGCAGGCGCCGGGGTTAAATTGTTATGTCGTGGTAGACCGGGCCTAAGTTCCGCAGGGGACCGCGCGGGGAAGTGGCGGCCTGGCGCGGGTTGGCGCGCAGAGTGGGGGCGCAGGGCGCACCCACGCACGCCCTCTGTCGCGCGCTCTCTCGCACCGCCGTCTTCGCCTCATTCCCGTTCCCCTTCGAGTGTCACTCACTTCCAGTGTCCTTGCCAAAGTAAGCGAGCTTCCGGCAGTCGCCCCACGCTCACGGCGCTCGAGGCGCTCAGGTGAGGCGGGCCTTGCCTTACTGCCTGCGTTCACTCGCAGTGGAGGCAGCGAGGCCCTTTGTCATTGGAGCCCCGCCAAAACGCGCGGGTCAACGGTAAACGAAGCCCCGGCGGGACCATTGCCCACGCGGACGTGTTATGTGTGGTGCAATGGCAGGAACACGTGTGGTACACTGGATACTCTTTCACGTTGCTTTATCCTGGAAGCTTCACTGTTTGAAGATTGCTAAATATAGAGTTTTGTGTGGAGCTTCCCTGCAATCACTGCGTAGGCCTCCGTTCCGTACCCCTGACGGTCTCCCCCACCCCTAAATGACGTCACGTATTACCTGCACGAGCCTTTCGAGAACCGAACTCGCTCCCTCGATGCAACCCGGCCTGCCCCAAGGCCCGCCCCAACGCGTCGCGTTCTTTTTACGTCCCCACGGCGCACAGGGTCGGTCGGACGATTTCCCGGCCATCGCCGTCCAGATGAGGCGCTTTGGCGTGCTGCGCGGTGCTGCGCGGTGCTGCGCGGTCGGGCGCGGTGCTGCGGCTCCCCGTCGTCGCCGTCGTCGGCGTCGCCCCGTCCCCGCCGCGCGAATATGACGTCGTTTGCCGAGGCGCCGCCGCCACGATGGATGTGCCGGCAGACGCGCGGCGCCAAGCCAGCCGCGGCCCCCACGCAGTGCCGCGCAGTGCCACGCAGTGCCGCACGCAGCCCAATGAGTCCCTGTCTGTCCCTGTCGCCGGCGCGGCGGTGATGCGCGCCACTTTTGCAGGCGACTGTACCACGCCGGCGCACAGTGGGCCAGAAGAGCGGCGCAGGCGGCCAAAACTCTAGACGCGTTTTGAGCTCCAGAGTTGCTAAGTGGGACTCGAACCGAACGTGTGACCGCACCAATGAATTCCTCGTTCGGAGAGCAATCCATTGGTGGGGTCACACGTTCGGTTCGAGTCCCATTTGGCAACTCTGGAGCTCAAAACGCGTCTAGAGTTTTGGCCGGCTGCGCCGGTCTTCTGGCCCACTGTGCGTCCCCGGCCTCGGACACCATCACGATCCTCCGGGCCCTGCGGGTGGCGGCGGTGCGGCGGTGCGGCGACAGACAAGGAGGTCAGGCTCGGCCATACATCGCCCTGGTGGAATGTTAGTGGACTTCTGGCTGGGGGTGGCTCACCACAGTGAGGCCCGGCGACAATGTATAGAGCTCGCTCCAGGCTCGCTGCGCTGCAAGGAGGGCAAGGGGAGGGGGAGGGGAGGGGAGGGGAGGGGGGGCTGGCCGCGCTCGTGACGCGAATTTATCATTCGAGTCTGAGGCCCCGTAACCCCGTTGACGTCTGCCGTGGCTGCGTGCTTACACGATGAGCCGCCCGTCGGCGTGCTGCCCTCGGTGCTGGCCTCGGTGCTGGCCCACTGGAAGACATTGGCGCACACGAGGGCGCACATGTCCGCACGGAAGCACCTTGGTCCTTGGAGTAGGATGCACCGCGGTGGCGCGGCTACGCTCGTCGTCTGTTTCCAGCTCACTGTCAAACCGACAGGTTCTAACGCTCTAGCATTCTCTCGCAACCCTTAGAGCGCACCGACGCTGAGAGACCGTGTTAAATGGTGTGGTCGTTCCACTCCGCGCCGCCATGGCGGTTCAGCTAATCGAGTCCCCAGCCTTTCACGAGGCGGAAAACTCCGCTGTCTAGGGCGGTGACCGCACCAACGCACAGTGGGCCAGAAGACCGGTGGCGGCGGCAAAACCTCTGGACGCGTCTCGAGCTCCAGAGTCGCTCCAGAGTCGAGAGAGACAGCGCGACTCCGGGCGTGCGTGCCGATCACCGCTTTTCCTCGTCCAAAGGAAGGGATCAGATGTCCGCGTGGTTGGCTCGCCCCCGCCGCCCCCCGCCGCCCCCCTCCGCCCCCCACGGCCCCCACGGCCCCCACGGCCCCCCGCTGCAGCCAAGCAGCACACCAAGGCACCGGGGGCGTTGGTTTTCAAAGGGTGCGGGTCCGATCCGGGATAACGCGGGATAGCGCGACGCGGCGCCATGCTCATGTCGGCGGCGGTCCACTGCGCCGAGCGCGGCGAGCGCGCCCAGGCAGGGACGGCCGAGGCCGAGACATAGAGGCTATGTACTGTGAAATGAGGCGGCCCTTGTTCCGAGAGGGGCCGCCGCACAGTGGGCCAGAAGACCAGTGGAGGCGGCCAAAACTCTAGACGCGTTTTGAGCTCCAGAGTCGGTAAACAGGACTCGAACCGAACGTGTGACCCCACCAATGGACTGCTCTCCGAACGAGGAATCCATTGGTGGGGTCACACGTTCGGTTCGAGCCCTGTTTAGCGACTTTGCAGCTCAAAACGGGTCTAGAGTTTTGGCCGCCTCCACCGGTCTTCTGGCCCACTGTGCGAGGCCGTGGCGTCGTCCCTTTGCCCCCCGGGGCTCCGTGGCCGAGGCCGGCGCGGCGCTACCCGAGCTCCTTGTTGACACGGACGACGTCGCAGCCCGCGACGACGGCACTGGGAAATACACGAGCAGCCGGCCCGGACGAAACCAGCAGACTGATTCCGAGAGTCCTTTCCGTTCTCTCTGTCTCCCTCGCACTTAGGCCCGTGAGTGCGAGAGAGACAGAGCGACGGAAACGACTCTCAGTGTGCAGGCAGCGGGCGGAGGCCCAAACGAGGCCGGTGTGCCGGGGGAGTATTGAGATGTGGTCGGGCACGGCCGGGCCCGGCGGGCTCAGCCGGATCAGGGGATAACTCCACGGGGCCGGGCCACCGCAGGGCAGGTCGCCGCAGCGGGCCGCCACCGTCTTTCCCCGCTTTTGATTCCCGGCCAAGGATGACAACGCGGCCGCGCTGCGGAGTGAAGACGGATGCCGCGCAGCCGCCGAGCGCGGCCAGGATCATCCATTAATTACCAGGTGGCAGAGCGCGCCGCTCCTCCGAAAAGCAGTCCTCGCGGCCGACGGGCCGGGACGGACCGGGACGGACCGGGACGGACCGGCCAGGCCCGGCCATCAGTTTTAATTGAAACCTCAGGGCTGGGCTGGCTGAGCCAAGGCTGAGGCAAGGCGATGGCTAATGGATGACCCCTGTCACCGCGGCCGCCCCGGGCCAGGCCGCGGCCAGAACGAGACCGACACTTGAGCGCCTCGTCGGGCATAAGTGGCCACAAAGTGGGCACGTTTCCGGCGGCTTTCACGGCGGCCAAGCGCCTTATTTTGCGCCCTGCCCGTTGAGGGTACACTGCAAGAAAAAGTGTGAATAGTGCAACAAAAGTACAACAAAAACTCGGAATTCCGCCGGAAAGAAGTCATATTGACATGAAATGACGTCACGGCGAGCGCATGCGACGTGGATCAACAGTGGCACCTTTTTGCCTCCATTTGGGTGCCGCGCGGACTGTGTGCACAAACTCCGCCTGCTCGGCCCTGATTTGTGTTTGCTGACGGATTTTTGTTGCTTTCCTCTTTTGCAGCGGCAGCCGCTGATCCAGAACGCGTCCGCGGGCACCATCATCAGCAACCAGTCGCTGGTGCTGCAGTCCGTGAGCCGCGCGCGCGCCGGCATGTACACGTGCGTGGCGTACAACCAGGAGGGCGACGGCGAGAGCAACCCCGTGCGGCTGGACGTCAAGTGTGAGTACCAGGCAGAGTTCTCCCCTCTTGGTTTCACAGTGTGCCACTCTGCAGTACAGGTGGAGTCCGAACGAGAGTCGCTCCGTCTCTGTCGCACTCGCTGTAGGGGTGCGAGTGAGACTGCGGCGACCCTCCTCGTGCTTCGGTGGCCGTTGCCTCGTTTTCGCCGTTGCGCCGCTGTGGCGCGTTAAGAGGGCCAGGCCGGTGGCATTCGAAAATGGCGCTCGCTCCGCCAGGCCGGGCCAGGCCTCGCCTCGCCCTTTGGAGAGACAAATGGTCAACGTGGCGTCTCGGCGTTACTCGCGCAGCAACCGAGCGGAGCTCATTACCAACTTCGCTCCCTGCACTGCCCTCTTAACCATTCTCAAGTTTTGTCCTTTTTCGGGCTACGCGTGGCAGGCGGGGCGGGGCGGGGCGGGGCGGGGCGGGGCGGGGTGGTGTGGGCGGCGCCAGGGTCGTTATGTTTCATTGAGCAGTCCACGCTTCACCTGCTCCTTCACTCCGCCGTTGTTTCCGACGAACACAAACAAACAAAACAGGAAAAAGAACGGAAAAGAGAAATTGCCCTGTTTCAGGGCATCCCTCCTTAAGTATACATGGGCCGCCGGTCGACCGGTTCCTGAAGGTTGGCCCGGAACGGCATTCTTGTTTCGTGTGCTTCCCGGGTGCACTTCCGACCAATCAGCGCGGACAGAGCAGGGCCGGGGCGGGAGGGGGGGGGGGGGGGAGACGGGGCCGCAGGGTAGCGGAGTAGTCCGGTCCGCAGGGAATACCAACTTTAGGGCGAGGGGTGGGGCTGGGGACGGTTTCCATCTTATATAGTGGCGCCGAAAATATCTATTCCCAGAGGCTTAGCAGGTAACGAAGAAAACTGTATCATGGCGAGAGCGCGCGGCGCTGCGGCGTGGTTCGCCGCCCGCCTTCTCCCCCCCTCTCCCCGCCCGCGGCTTCCATCTCAAGGCCGGACACTTCCAGGGCTTTATTTTTTTTCCTCTTCTCAATTTCCTCTTCTCTCTCACTCTCACTCGCACGGACTGTCCACAGTGGTGGATCTGATTGGCGGGGCCCACGCGGCCGGAAAGGGTGACTGCTGCGCCGCCCTGCGCCGCCCTGCGCCGTCCTAAGTCAACCGGAACCATTTCCCCCGCTTACCGCCCCCTCGCAATGTTCAGTCGACCATTCGAAATAACGTTGCGCCGCCATTTTTTTATCCAGCATCTGGCCGCGGCTCGGATTGTGGTTGGTGGATCTGAGAAAAAAAAACTTCACATTTAAAAAAAAATTACATTTTCAAAATTTTAAGTTGTTTGGATGCCATGTGAATTTTTTTCACTTTGAGGTTTGAGGCGTGGTTTGAACCCTTTGAGCTCATTTTCGAGTTAGATTGAAATGCCTTTTTAGTTGTCCAGCCGCATAGTGACCGTCAGGTTAAACCTGACAAAACTTCAAGTCAGGCTTCAAGTCGGGCTCGGCGGCGGGCGGTGCAGGCCACAGCTCGGCACGGCTAGTACCAACACCGGCCACCTCGCTCGGGTCTATATATTTTTTTTCATACACAATTTTAATTACTATCTTTGGAATGAGCCCGCATACTACCCCGTATAAGGAAACCGAACGAGTATTGACTGAGAAATTTGAAAGGGAAAAGAAAAAAAATTGAACTCTACACCCCCTCCCCAGTCTTAATGGGGAGGCCTCCTGCTTTACTTGTGTTCGGGATGGGAACCGGTGCTATCAGGTACCTGGGGTTAATCCCGTCAGCGACCCAAGCGTTCGCCGGGGGACCCAGTAGGACCCCAAAGCTCAGGCAGCTGGGTGAGAGCACCCAGTACGAAGCTCTTTGAGGGGCGGGACGTAGAGTGAGACGACAGAGAGACAGAGAGAGACTCAGACAGAGAAGAGGTTTGGTGGGAGCTTCTTGTTTTCGTAGGGTTGGTTGTGTACCCCATGGTACCCCCACTGTCCGGCGCTCCCGTACCGAACATACAGCGTTTTAGGCCAGCTTCAAAGGACTTATCATCGCCTCCCCGACGAGTCAAGGAGGCACCACCCGCAACCACACACCGGATGGTCTGGATTGATGGATCAAATACTCCATCGCTCCAGTGCCGAGGCCAACCCGCCGAAGCGGATTGCTTTTTAGACACCCACAGCGGAGTGGCCAGGTGAATGTGACTCTGACCACTACGCTATCACGCTTGTACGTCTGGCAGCGTGTTGGACGACGGGTTTGAGTTGCACTGGGAGGAATGCGTTCGAAAAATGTAACTAGGGGTACGCGCCGTTCAGTCTGGGCGCGTAGTGTGGCTGAGCGATGCGAATTGACATTTTTGTGCACTTTGGACTTTGCTTGATTAGACGAAGTGTCCATCTTATGGGCTCATATTCAGTGAACTTTAGACCAGGGGTACAAATGGAAGTGATTTTCGTCATCAGAACACCAAAAACTGCTGGAATCAATGTCAAACTCGATTTAAAAATTTTGGTCCAAAATTGGTCAAAATTCGGTTAAATATGAGTCTGGGAAAAGTTTGAAGGTCATTTTTGAGCTCAGCACACCAAAAACTGCAGAAAACAATGTAAAACTCAACATGAAAATTTTGGTCCAAAATGATCTAATTTGCGATGAGAATATAAGTCTGGAGTCGAAATGAAAGTGATTTTCGTTATCAGCACACCAAAAACTGCTGGAATCAATGTCAAACTCGATTTAAAAATTTTGGTCCAAAATTGGTCAAAATTCGGGTAAGTGTGAGTCTGGGAAAAATTTTGGAAGTCATTTTCGAGTTCAGCACACAAAAAACTGCAGGAAACAATATAAAACTTGACTTGAAATTTTTGGTCCAAAATGATCTAATATGGGATGAAAATAAAGGTCTGGTGTTAAAATGGGAGTTATTTTCGTTATCAGCACTCAAAAAACTGCAAGAATCACTGTACAATTCATTTCAAAAAATTTAACCAAAAATCGGTTAAATTTTGGGTTAGGGGACAATTAAGATGTCAATATTGAGGTCAGCGCACTGAAAACTACAGGGAAATACATAAATCTCAACTTGGAAAGTTTTGCCCCAAATTGCGTAGCTCTAGATGAAAATGTAGGATTGGCATTGAAATAAATGTAGTTTTTGTGACCAGTACACTGCAAACTACATACAATACTTAAAACTCAATTTCTGTATATTGTTCCTATTTGTCTTCATGAAGCACACTCTGTCGTCACCAATTCCCTGATGCCACACCAAAGCAAATCCCTCAGTCGAGTAAAATTCAATTGCCAACATGGAATCGCTTAATTGGCTACTCGTATGCTTGGGTCACTATTCGATAACTCTTTTTCCTTAACTAATGAACTCACAATTGTATAAGTTATATTTATGAAACATTTTGTTATTCTTTCATTGTGAACCAGTGAATAAAACAATATTGGTTGGAACATGTTATCACAGTAAATATTAAGAGAGTCAGTTTAGGGTAGGCTGATCTAAACCAGTTAACGGGGACAAATTATTGTCAAATCCAGTGATTCGTCACATAGAGTCCAATGCCAAGGCTACCCAAGGCTTAATGAACCGACATAATTTATCTTACTCATGTAAACATTACTGAGTAGTACCAGTTACATTAACTTCGGTGAAGTTAAAGGAATCGTCTCACTAAATCCAATCACCAATTCACTCACCGCTCAAAACCTGAGTCGTCTCTTTGAAACCAACATCAATTCAAACTCCATTAGGATTAAATATACACAACCATATATTGATTCTATTAATAAACTCATGTTAGTACTTTTGGACTCTTGTCAGCTTGCAGCATTGCAATAGAATGAATTTCTCGAGTCCAAACTAAGTATGCCTGCCAATTTCAACACAAGTTATTTATGCATTTCCCTAATTTCCTCTAGTTTGAAAATTTTAAAAAGAGGATGACACTAGAATGAAATAAGAAGATGCACACAATACAAAAGGTCAAAATAAAAACATCCTTTTTACAAAGCTTTGTCAAAGTGCACTGACCTGAAGATGATTCCCCTCTGACAGGGGAGGGGGGAGAGGGGAACGAAACACGTAAATCATTTTCGAATCCCTTTTCCATATTTCGCTGTGTTGGTGTTCCAAAATGGTTTTAATCATTCTAGAATGTTGAAAAACTAAGGCCGATCTCATTTCTAAACCCTTCTGCTCTTTATTTCGTTTTATTTGCTTATTTGCTTAAGTCCCGTATTTGAGAGCCGCGGACCCGCAGGTATGAGAAATTGGTAAGCGCTGCCGCGCTGCCAACCTAACCACGCTAATGACCTGATTCAAAAATATGTTTTGAATATTTCAAACGATACTAAACAACGATTTGAAACAAACTCGTGTTGGGGGGTACTAAGGCGACGTTAAATACGAAATCTTGAAACTATAGCCACTGTAGTTGCTGAGAATCGTTGGTGAGTACAAACAGACTCACAGACAGACAGACAGACGCACGACCAGTCACTTTTCAGCGCGCCCAAACACGGCAAGGGCTTCGCTAACGCTCAGCCAAATGAAATGATAGGATTCGATCCCCGGACCCCGCCACCGGGATCACACGACTTAACGCTCTCGGCCACCACGGCCCATGATGAGGGGATCGGCGTGAGGTAGGTTCTTGACGCAACAGGACTCGACCGACCCGGTCAAAATTTCGCAAGAAGTTGGGGGAGTCGAACCGCCGACCCTTGCATTGGGAACCGACGCCTCTACTCCCTGGACCACCACGTCCCATGCTCGGAGCGGGCTCACGTTTACGGGTTTGAACCGCACTGGGTGAGGCAGTAAAATTAAATGGAAATATTTGTTAGGAGTCGAACCTCCGGCATGTGGGCCTGTTGCACACGGCTCCGCTCGGATGGCCTCGAACCACCACCCTTAGGATAGCAAGTCGAAAAAACTTTTGTGACGCTGGTATTCGAACGCCGGCCTGCGGTAACTCGATCCCACGTCTCTAACCTCTCGGCTGTCACAGCAGTT